ATGGGTGAAGGACGTGTGCTGTGCAATACCATCAGCCATGGTCATCAAGGCATTCAAGAAAAGTGGCATCTTGAATGCCATGAACGGTACCGAGGATGAGATGCTTTGGGCCGTTGACAGCAATAAGGAGTTGTCCGACAGCGACGAGGACTGACCTATTACGCGACTCGCAATGCCGCTCTAGTGGTCACAGTTTTAGCTGCAGGGCTGGCAGTTTGACTTTGTGTTTTATCTTTCGAAACTTCAGTGAATTAAAACCCAAATACTTGATCTCAATGTGCGGAGGCTGACTCCTACGGACTTTTTTTTCTTTTCTGGGTGAGTGTTACAATCGATGTTTTACTTTTTTTTTTTTCGTCGTGGAAACCGGGTGTGCATTACAATCGAGGGCACGGTAAAATTGAGTAAATACGGTAGACGTCTACCACAAGGTACAAAATGTGCTGTTAGCTTTTGACTCTATGCCATCACAATATCTTCCAGACGAAGGTTTTAATTTGTTCATGGCTATGCTATTGGGCATACGTAACTACGCACAAATGTCATGTCAACAAAGTTCTGCCACAACCAAAATATTTCACATGTACCAATAACTTCACTGTAGCAAAACCTGACTGTACTACACAACTATCACTGTTCCCAACGCACTAGTAGTGGTGTAAAACTGTAGGTACCTACCAGAGTGGCATTCTCAAGCACAGAAAATTTGCAGTATATTTTAGAGAAATAATTTGGTCTCCTATATATTTGCATTTCCACATTTATTCCACTCGTATAAAAATTGTACTCAATTTAGTTTTTTTACTACAGCATTCATTCCTTGGGTTTCCCAACTGCACCATTTACTATGTGGAAGTTGGAGGCGCCCAAAGCCTTTGCACCAGCGTTGCCCTCTTCTGATAATCCCTGTCCTGTCCCGTTCTCCTCACATGGCAACTGGTGCCATCTTTCGCCATGCACCTGTTCTCGTGGTGGCTCTTTGCTTGGTCTCGAAGCCATGAGATTCAGCACGACCGAGACATGCACTCCAGGATAAATTTTTCTCTTCTCGAGCAGCACTTGGTAAGCATGTGCTTTCCTACCAGTCTGGCACACACTTTAGGAATCGCCAAACTGCAGCCAGCCTGCGATGCCCTCAGCACCCCAAGCGGCCACAATTGCTTTAGTACTATTTTCTGTTTCTTACACTAAGCATTAGAGCGGTGCCTAGTGCTTGCGTATGACTGTACAACACTGAGTCATGCTTGCTGGAGGCCCACAGGTACAGTGGAACTTCGATTATACGACTTTAAGGGGACCACGTAAAATCGTCGTATATTCCGGGCGTCGTATACCTGAAAAACCAAGAATATAGGCACTGATGGTCGTTGTTGCCCCACAACAGTTGTCACATAATGCGTAAGAAAGTCCGCGGCACAAATCTACGCTCCTCCGATGAAGGTAGATTAAATTACTTGAAAAAATGACAACCACGCATTTTATCAGAGGTGTGAACAAATCTTTATTCTCACCTTTTAAAAAAATCTGTGATTTTTTTCTGCGAGTTTGCCCAGCCACAATGCATCAGCTTTCTTTCGAGAGCTGCGACATCTGGCAGCAAGTCGCCGATCTCGTCGCGTGTGCAAGCAAACCGCCGAATGTTGTCGACGTAGCACAACATGCCCGCGTACGTCGGAACAGACCCACTAGCCTCTGCAGTGTCATCCATCTCTTCCTCGTCAGAAGTTCCCGCAGTGTCAGGACGCACAGTTTCGATAATGTAATCCAGCGACACTGCACTGCACACTGCAACGTCGTCGTTGGCACCAACATAGTCCGCGAAGGATCCAGGCAGCTCCAGGTTGCCGAACTCTGGTTCGTCGTCAACAGGCACTGCAGCTTCACTGGTAGAACAAGCACCACTTCTATTAAAGTCGCAGTGCCTGAAGCAGTTGACAATGGTTTCTGGCGTGATTGCGTTCCATGCACTAGCAATGTAGTGCATTGCATCAAGCACAGAAAGCTTTTTATCCAAATGCTTGCGTTCCATGCCCGCCAGCCGACGGTGCACCAGAAACTTCCGATATTTCTGCTTCATGCACGTGATGACGCCGGCGTCAAGTGGCTGCAGCTGGCAAGTGCAGTTGGGGGGCAGAAATGTAACTTTCACATTTCTCAAATGCGACGTATCTAATGAATGGCATGGCGCATTGTCAAGCAGAAGAAGAATCTTTCTGTTTTTAGCCCCCATTTTTGAGTCCAGCTGCTGCAGATATGTTGAAAACATAGCAGCCATCATCCAGGCTTTCCAGTTGAGCATGTACTGGCACGGCAGCTTTTTCAAATTCTTGAAGCATCGCGGCTTCGCAAACTTGCCGATCACGAGGGCAGGAAGCTTTTCTGAGCCGTCTTCATTAGTGCAAAGCAATACAGTAAGACGCTGTTTGCTACGCTTCCCCCGTGACAGCTCTCTCCTTTGAGTGTTAATGTCTGCTCTGGCTGCATATTGTAAAATAATCCAGTTTCGTCCGCGTTGAACATGTCGGACGGCTTGTATTGCCGTATCAATTCCGGCAGCAATGCAGTCCACTTTTCGACATTGTCGGAGCTGACTGACGAGCTCTCTCCACAGCAGCGGCTGTACACAACTCCACTGCGTTTTTTAAAGCGATCCAACCAGCCATTGGAGGCTTTGAAGTCATCAATGCCGCAGCGCAATGCTCCGCCTTCTCCTTCAAAATTGCACCATCCACGGCAATTCCTGAACTGCGGGCCTGACGCAACCACTCAACGAGGGCCGTCTCCATGGCAGCATATTTGCCATCTTTCGCGGCCTTCCTGTTCAGGCCGAACTTTGCTGCATTTAGTAGGATGCTGTCCTTCTTTGCGAGGATCGTTCTCAGCGACGACTCAGGAATGTTCAGGTCGCAGGCAATGCTGGCCTCTGTTGCTCCGCTCCCTTCTCTGCCTCCTCGATTATGCGAAGCTTTTCTCCAAGCGTCAGCGGTTTTCGGTTACGCGACATTGCGAGACGCAGCACTCGCAATGAAGAATTCGAAAGCTTCCTCGCACACCAATGTCCGAATACTAAAAATTTTGCACATAGATGCAGCAGCTGCGGCGCACAACTCACCAATGAGGCAAACACGTGAAGGAATGGCTGAAAGGCAACAAGGCAGTAGGCCCATTCGATTTTTGCAAGCTCGTACGTCTGCGCAAGCCTAGACCAATTGCGAGGGGCTAAAACTCCCCAGCCCTCTGGTAGCTAGACAGCAGCTAGTTCCGGTTCCCGCGGCTGTCCCAAACGTAGACAGGCTCAACAATTGCCGTTTAACACGTCCGGCGCAACGACGCGAAATCTAGTGAAAGTTATCGCATACTAGAAAGCGAGCTCGAAATTATCTGCCATGTTACCTGCTCTTAGCTGTCACTACAAAACCACCCAAAAGAAGGCAGAAAAAAACAAAAAAAAAGGCCCCAATGGAAGTGCGCAGTGAAATGCGACTAGGCAAAACGAATGTGCTTTGGCTGGCTCTGGACAACGTTGGCTCTGGCTAGCTATTGCCGACAGCGTGTCGAAAAATTGAAGAGGCCCTGTGGTGGCAGCGCCGATAGTGTGCTAGAATGTGCGGAGAAACGAACTCGGTTCCTCGGTTTCCCGACTTTTTTTCATCCGGCCGCAGTGTGCTTCCGTGGCAGCCTGCGTGCGTCATCGTAGGTTTTCTTTTTTTTTTTTTTTTCTCAGACAGGCCAGCTAAGCGTCGTACGAGGCGGGGCCGGCGTAAAATTGCGTCGTAGAATTGAGATTTTCAATACATTAGTTCTATGGGTGTTTTGCTGGGACCAAGCCAATTCGTCGTAAAACTCGGCTTGTCGCTGGACTGGGGGACGTATAATCGAAGTTCCACTGTACACAGATTTGCCCTAGCTCTCACGACCAGGCCAGCGGTCATTACGAGAGTGCGCAGCATAGCCGCTGAAAATCGTTTCTTTGGCGTATTACCCGCGTGCAGAAGCTTTTTTCTCCCCCATGTCCTGGGAGCAAATGTTGTGCCATGTGTTTGGATGCCAACAAAGGAAAATAAAGGGTTGGTGCATTGTTTGATAAAACACTGGCTGTTTTGCAGTACGGCACTAAACGCTTTTGCTAGCTGAGCGTGCGTGGAGCAGTACATAACACCAATATTTTCATTCTGCCACCTTGGTACTACGAAGCACTAACATCACCTAAAGAAAAGTGAAAAGCAATTCTATGAAAAGGTTTTGCAGACGCAATTTTCGGCGAGCCTTAACAGGCACCCACACTGTTACAAACTAGTCCATGCTTTGTCAATACGAAATGCATTTCCCCCACTGGTTGCTACAAGAGTGCAGTGTTACTCTCTCTAAGAGCCCAGACATGTCACTGCAACTTTAAGGGCACAGACACAACTGTTGGTTTTACACAGCAGATTTTGCAATGTTCTTAATTAGTTGGGTACAGCCCAAAGCAATTGCACCTCATTACAAGGCATGCTTCCACCATATTATGATTAATGTGTGCTACTCCTAATGTAAGAGGTATAAACTTGAAAGATAAGCAGGCCTAATCATTATCAGTAAAGTTGGTGAGAAAGTGCAAAGCATGGGAAGGATCAACGTTCATCACATCCTAATCTTCTTTAACCCAATTTATAAATCTATAATTTCAGCCCCCATACGTGAAAAAATTGATTGTGGCAGAACTTTGTTGACATGACATTTGTGTGTAGATATGTATGTAAGCAAAACTGCAAATCTGCGAACAAAACCACACTGTCCAAGCAATCTCTATAAAGGTGTGAAGGCAAGGGCCACAACGATTCTCCTACCCAAACATCAACGAAATATAGCTGGCTTCTGCCTATTAAAACACATCATGAGCAATTATAACTGAATTTGCACATAATTTAGTGCCTCTAAATTGCCATTGAAGACAAACTTAAGGCTGCAATGCTGACTAAGTCCGAGAGGCATTCCTACCTAGCCGCAGGAAAGCTCACCTTCAATACGAGACATCTTTTTCAGGGATTCCTGCTCCAAGATCTTCTGAGTGTATTGGATCTTAGCCACTTGAGCAACTTTCTCAGCATCTACAACAAAAGAAGGCAATCGGTCAGCGGTGACCTAAGATGGTAAGTTATCGAAATTTGCATGTGTAACCGGCAAAACATTATCAGCCGGCAAGCTTGCCTTGCATTTTTACACTTCTCACATCGCACAAAAAAGACAGTGAAGCTGCAATACCACTGAATAACTGGCATATCATGACCGCAGAGAGGTCGACTGCAAAAAATTTAGCCAGATATGAAAGCCTGTAACCAGGCACATTGAGTGTTTTAAGAAGCAGAGAGATTTAAGTTCACATTAAGATCTGATTGCTAGGTAAATACAAGATTCAATAAAAACAGAAATGACAAAATAAAACTGTTAATGCATTCTCGTTAAGCCTCATAAAAGCTGTATATGTGAAGGTTCTAAAAAAACTTTTTGGATAAATATAAAAAAAGAATTCACAATATAAGCCACCAATCTGGGTCTTTGGAAACACAAACTTCTTGCGATTTTTTTTTTTTTGCTTACTATTACATGAAGAAAACACACATATCACGCTGGCATACTAAGTGATGTCTGCGACTGAATATATGCTCTATAGATGGTGACAAGCTAAGAATAAGAAGTAAAGGGTACCATTATCTATTTGTGGTAAGTGCGCACAACTGTGACTGCTTTTTATTACGCCGTAACAGTTACGATGAACAAATTCCAAATTCAACATGACACTGTTCGTGACGAGAGGTGATGTGTCCAACAACGAGACCGGCAGGCGTCAATCAGTTTTCCTGTGGTGTTTTCTTTGGCAAAAAGTAGCTAAAGTCCCCGACCGATAAATCAGACTTGCTCGGTAATTCGGACAGCCGCCCGGCACCGCCGAGGGTCCTATAGAACTAATGTGTAAAGACGACTGATATTTCGGACAGCTGCCAGGTCTGCATTCAATAATCTGGTCTATGTCCGAAACTGGCGCGGACACTGAATCGGCAGCCATTATCTTTTCCAGTACACATGTCATACAAAGTATGGCCTCAGAGATGAAAAACGAAAGAAAATTGGTTATTTGTGAACAAAAAATGCCGATCTTGAAGGCACTGCCCATCTGTGGGAGGTCATATTGACATCGTGAACATCCTCTATTCCGGTTCCTATATCCCCCTGCTATTATGGCACTGTACTGCGGTCACTGCCATTCTGTCGTATGTGTCTGCTGAATTCTGGGCTCGTTCGGTTTGGTGTCGAGACCCTGCTTTATTCTGCGGTCTGCTGTCCCAAAAGATCTGCGTCAAATGGCACCAATGGTGTCCTGACAGCCAACACCAAAGGCCACGCCGATGATGACAAAACACGGCATATACACAACGCTAATCACGGCAAGGAAAGCTGCCATTATTCAGCAAGTGCTCAGTGGTCGTCGAAAGTTGAAGTTGCTTAAGAGTTCAACATTTTGAAGCAAACCATATCAGATTATATGAGAAATAAGGGCAAAATTTTAGGCTCGACAGAGACATCATCCTGAAGTCAACAAAAGAGGGTGCGCCAAGGTTTTCATCCACATTTGGAAGAAGCATTGAACATCTGGCTTAATGCTACCATCGCTCAACAGGTTCCTGTTTCCGGCCACCTACTGAAGCAAAAGGCCGAGACCTTGGCACTGCACCTGGGCATTGGTGGATTCAAGTTCAGCGATGGATGGCTCCAAATATTTAAAAAGCGGTACAACCTTGCTTTCAAAAAAATGTGTGGTGAGAGCGGTGCCGTGGGGAGCACACTAGTAATCAACTACCGTGACGGAAAGTTGGAGGAGCTTCTTCAGTGCTACTCAGCGGACGACACCTTTAACATCGATGAAACTGGCCTTTTTTTATAAGCTACTACCGGAGAAGACACTTGCCCACTCTGGAGAACCTTGCCACGGTGGAAAACTCAGCAAAGAACGAGTCACAATCATTGTCGGCAGCATGCAACCGGCAAGGAAAAGCTCCCGCTGTTGGTCATTAGAAAATCCAAAAAATCTCATTGTTTTAAAGGAAAAAAGAATTTGCCTGTCTTGTACACAGGCAATACAAAGTTGTGGGTCACACAAAAGTTGTTCGAAGAGTATGTCCGAAAATTCGACTAAATGTTTGAATTGCAGAAGCGCAAGGTTCTTTTGTTTGTAGACAACTGTAGCGCCAATGCTCCGATCAGCAACCTGAAAGCCATCGAGCTGGAATACCTCCGGCCAAATACAGTCGCCGACCGTTTATTCGGACTCGACGGGAACCGCCAAAAGGTCCGAATAATCGGGAGTCTGAAAAAACGAATTCACTCGAAAAAAAAAAAAAGCCCTTTTATAGGCCCTATCGCCCGAAAAAACTGTCATGTCTGCACACACGCACGCTTCCGAGATGGTTTGCTTGGAAATTAAAAATTCAGACTTCAGACTGAGGTAGGCCACCTTCTACCTGGCGAATTATATCTGCTTTCTTTGTCATCGTGAGCGTCTTGTAGCTCCCACGTTTGCCGCGTTTCTTCACTCCTGACGGCGCAGCAATGGGTGGCGTTGTAGCCATTTCAGCACGCCACAGAACACGCAAGAGAGCGAGAACACAGACAACAAGATGAATCAGGCCTAGCCACAAAAGCAGCTGACTGACACTGCTGACAAACGCAGCAGCGAACAGACTCTGTAGGTGGCTTGGCTTGGCCACTCGACTGGCTAAAAAAATAAAAAGCGTCGCCAAACATAGCCTTCGAGATCGGCAATGGCGATTTCTGCATGCATTTTGACACTGGCCAGACATCCATCCATAGCTAGTGCAGCATATCAGTGCTTGCAACCTAGCAAACGTATTATTAACGTCCACGGAGGAAGGAAAAGTAAGGAGGGGCCCTGACGTCACTCGTTGTGAAGCCGCGATGAAGGCGGAAGTCGGCCATATTGACTAGGCAAATTCTCCTCTCTTGTTTGCATGTGAATGCGCAGCAGAAGGCGCGACTCCCTCTCTGTCTCAAAAAGCACGTCGCCTGCGCACCGCGTGCGTCGATGCTATCCGAAATCAACGGAACGGATTTCAACACGCTGTCTTGCCGCGATACGGTTGACGAAATCTCTGCGTATGGCTGTTGTACTCTTGCACTGCCGGCGTTAACGATAAACACGGCAAGTTGCACGCTAAGCTTTTTTAATTTGGTGTGTTCTTTGAGAAAATAAAGATTATATTTCGGACCTTGCTGTGCGACGAACCAGGCACCGAAATTTGTACAGCCTCTTTCAGATCACTTTTTTCCCCTTTTGTGCTTCTCTTTAGGTTTTATGAAATTTTCGGTCAGGCTGTGGGCTAGACACAACGATAAAAAAAGAAAGAAATGTCTTCCCTGCAATAAACCCGGAGGTCCGTAATTATGCCAGTAAAGTCGGCGTCGGTGGAGCTTGTGTGCGTGGCAGCCCATTGAGTTTGCGCCGGCCTCTTTGTTTTCGCCCCTCTTTTGTCCGACGCGCACTGGTTTCTACGGATATCCTAAAGGCCATGATTTCATTAGGACGAAAGCAGCGAAGACCACCCGAAAGTGCGTGGAAACACGTTTCCAGTGTGATTCACGCGCACTAGTAGCTACAGAGAACGAAAACCAGGATCATGTTAGGGCGAAACGTGGGAAAGTTAGCCGAAGGAATGCGTGAGAAAAGGTCTGCGGGAAGCTTCACGCGTCGACACAGTCACCAAGGACGGCAGGGAAAGCCAGCCAAAAGAGAGAGAAGATGTCTCCGGGATAAGTGGCTAGTCATTAGAGAAAAATAAAGAGAAGGCGCTTGTTTTATGTCTTCCTTATCTGGAACAGAGCTCAGTGCCAACCCCCAACCGGTAACTGTACAGGAACATGAAAAGCAAGATTAGATTACAGTCTTAATAAGGGCCTGTGGACCGCAAATGCATCGTCCGTTGTCATAAGAAGCAACACCGCATAACTGTCACTAACCTGCAAGGCATTCATTGAACGAATTCTTGAGCACGGTCGTTATCTTCTATGATGGCTTTTCAGCATAATTTTGATGGATGCTGCAAATTTGGAGTACGTATACGCGCGCTCGTTTCGTGGTTTCTAGTTCAGACACCTAGTTACAACCACTACCGGAGGAAAATCGCGTAGCTAACAATGTGGCACAAAGAATGGATGCTGTCGAACACCTGCAGTACGCCACGGTTAAGTGCGAGGCCCATGAAAACGCGCACACCGCCGCTGGACCACCTGAACGGTGCTGCACCGCATTACATCAATAATAACAAAACGCCGCCATTGTGCCTAGTGAATATGGACGCGCGTGACGTAATTTCCGCCACATTTTTTACACCCTGCGCCGGCTGGGCATGCCCACTCCTTACCTTTCCTTCCTCCGTGTTAACGTCGCTCTCGGCGTGTATGGGCGTATGGCGACGCATCTGATCAGTCAAACGGAGTCCGAATAACCGAATGGCGCAAAGTGGGGCGTCCGAATTTTCGGTCGTGAGTTTACATTAGGATCAATAGGGAGTGTGGCGGTGATATGAAGATGTCCGAATAAACGGTCGGCGACTGTACCACCAGTATTTTACAGCCGATGGATCAAGGTGTCAATGAATTTGAAGGTGCGCTATTGTTCACGTATGCTGCAGCGCGTGTTGCTGTGCCTAGAGAGCCAGATGAAATACAACATCTGGCTTTATGTGAGCCGTCAGCATGCCTGCCGATGCCTGGAAGGCAGTGTTGGCAGGCACGATTAGCAACTGTTTCCGGCACGCTGGATTCTCGTTCCGCAGTGAACCCTACACTGCTACTGAAGAGCAGAACCTGCCGCCCAGCACAACGAGCTCAAGTGCGGACGCTATTAACGACCTGCGAAACAGCCGTGTGCAGATTCTTGATGCAGTTACGTTTGAAGACTTCGCGAACGTAGACAGCGCTGTGTTGTTGTGTGCCGAATTGAATGACGACGACATAAATGAGCAGGTTCTGCAACCGCGAAACAGTGACTCTGAATCTGATGATGACGAAACTTCGTGTGCTCCGGAGCCGATGTATGCGAACCTGTATTGAGCCCTCACAAATCTTTCGTCGTTCTATAGCGAGCATATCATGCTGGCGGAAATACCGATGAACTCGGTCGCACATAAGCGGAAGTGTGTGCAGCAACGCATTGACAGCTTTTTCTGGCCTCCAACTCACCGAAGCGACAATAAAAGTACTTTTTTTCTGATTCATTTGTTTTTTCGGACATTCGATAATCTGTACTTATTTAGGTTCCCTGTGGAATCGGAATATTTCCTTTTGTTATCCACCCACACTCAGTCATTCTCACTGGTCGTCATTTGATGCAGACGTTTACGATTCTGCAGTGTTTGAAGCGCACAGAAGCAGCAAAGCTTTATCGCGTTCCGTCGCTTTGGCAGCGTGAAGCAGTAACACGGTGTTGTCTACTCCATCGCTCGAATGCACCAAGCATATCTCGCCTGAGGGCAACTACTCTTGACGATTGTCGTCACGGTCATTCGTGCGAAGTAAGGTGAAAATGAAGTTGGAATGTCCCCATCGGTGCTTTGTAGAATGCACGCATTTATGATCTACCACCTGCAAAAGCCATGGCATCAGCATTAGAACATGTGCATGGGTGCGTAACTTGGGTGTCACAACGTGAGAATTTTGGCGATCTTTTGCGATATGCACTGTACTGTATGCCTATATGAATGATGTATGTAGTATGTGCAGACGAGATGTGAGAGAAAAGCGACCAACAGAACCTACTAGTGCAGCACAATACGAACGTAAACAAAGTAGGTGTGAAGAATATGTAGGGGTGTATCTATTTTAAAGCGAATAGTGGTCATCCAGCTTGTGCGTGATTATATGACATGCGCTTATGTGTGCAGCTGTGTGATCTCGACGAAACCGATTTCCACCAGCCTAGAATTATGCGCCAGGTTGATATTGATAGATATGTAGAGTTTAACGCCCCAAAACTACCATATGATTACGAGAGACGCCGTAGAAAAGGGCTCCGAAAATTTCGACCACATGGGGTTCTTGAACATGCACCCGAATCTGAGCACACGGGGCTACAACATTTTTGCCTCCATCAAAAATGCAGCCACCACAGCTGGTATTCGATGACGCGATATACGAGCAGCAGAGTACCTTAGTTGCTAGACCACCGCGGCGGGGCTATGTGCTAGGTTGAAGTGCCTGTTGTGTAAGTACTTGTTTGATGCTCGATGCACGAACACCTCGCATGAAAAATGCCGTGAGTGGTTCTTCATACCACGCAATGAAGCATACGACTTAATATTGCTGCATCGTTCGTGATCAATGTAGCATTCACAATCAATCAGGGGTCATTGCCGAAGTGATGCTGCTAAAACCATTATTGATCAAAAAAGCAAAACGAAAAAAACTTTAGTTTTTTTAAGGCATGATATATCATACTTACCGGTGTATTATTAGAAATTCTTACTATTTTCTAACACGCATTTTTTTTTAAATTTACAGCACACATGTATTACTTAGGGATTATTTGTTTGTATGAAATTACGGTAGAGTCTCATGAAAGAAAACATGACGCACTACAGTCCACTGTGAAAGCAGTCTAGCCTGCAATTCACTGGCACTCACAGGAGATAAAAAACCCTCTTGCCTAGCACAATCGCACAGACACACCTTTGCACAGACACATTTATAGAAAGTAGTGGCCCCTGTTCCAGCAAAACTGGGTCCGGTTTTGAAAAAGCTGAATATTCAAGAGCTGAAATAACATGACAACACCACTGCAAGTTGTGCGAGAAAAAAGATTACGAACAGATTTTAGTCACCGTCACTTTCGTTGCATACATTGCCTCAGCATGAATGTTGCGACAATGTATGCAATGACCCCCACTATTAAACGCAATGTGCACTATGCACTGCTATTTTTTTGCAAAATGACGTCAAATGAAACATTGGTGTTTGACTCAAACATGATGACAAGCACAGCAATGCAAGTCGCACATTTGGTATTTACGGCTGCACAAGAACCAAACTACTCATGAAGTCCATCTAAAATAGTTTTGCCATTCTTCGCTCCGAGTCATAGTTGTCATAGTTACGACAGTGAAAAAACCTAGTAGCAAATGTTTTATAAAAATTGCAAACTATATGAAATGTGATTAATGCCCGTTTCATTTTGTGAAAGTGCAAAAGCACAATTCCTTTCATTTACAATTTACAACAAACTTGACACTATTTGTATTAGTATGATAATATATACTGCTAGAAACATCGCCTTTGAGAGATGTACATTACTTCTTCGTGGATTACGAGATGAGAATGGTGGGGGGGTGCTATTCAGACATATTTCTAAGCTGACGCAGAACTTTGTGTTTTCACAATTTTTTTTATCGAGCTTTGTTTTATATATATCAATGTCAATGCTGTATTGCAAGATATTGCTTATATGCGTGAAAATTCTTACTATTCTTTAGAAACTACTTCCATTGTAGCGCGGAGGCACAGAAAATAAGGGCAATGCGGCCTCGTACATGGAGCTTATATTTATTCTTAGGTTGTCACAGACTATAGATACACTGTCAGTGTCATGAGCATTGTGGAAGGGCAGGGTAAGAGAGTGAAGAATAGCAGAAAATTGAAATGACAAACCCTCTGCTCGACATTAAAGCCTACATCACTCGGTCAGGACACCACCTTCTTACTTAAGAAAAAAAAAAAACCATTTGGTGCCCCCTGTCAATTGAAATCAGAACAAGCAGTACCGCCCACATGTGGCAGACCCTGCAGCCATGCAACTATTGATGCGGCAAATGCACATCTTCCAAGGCACACCTTCCAAAGTCGCTGCATATTATCCCCCTCTTCACTGCTTCTTTCCGCTATGGTACATTCGTTTATGGCCAGGAAAGCACTGTGGCACCAGTCATGAGCACATGCAGCCTTTGGCACTTGCAGTGGTGGAAAATGATTGAATGGGCTTGGGAGCAGTCTTGGAGCATCCAGAAGGACATTTTGAGGCAGGCTTGGAGCAGCCAGAAAGACTTTTTCAAGCAAGTTTGGAGCGGTCAGAAAGACCATTAGGCACACATGTAGTAACGTTACAGAGCTTTTACTAAGCAGCATTTGTCCAATACAATGCTGAATCCGCAAACACAAACCCAAACTGGGCCTCCTTCAACTATGTAGACATGTTTGTGTTACCCTTTTCGTTTCGTTTTATACAGAATGCCACCTCCACAGCTCCTTACCCACCCCCAAACCTTTTTCTTCCGTGCACAGAAATGCATGCTGAGAAATCCTCCATTGCTGATCACAACCTTGATAAAACCAAAACTAAAGTCATTTCAGTGAAACAAAAAAAAAAAACAATGCTTCAGACACATTTTCGGGCCCAAGGCTTGACGGCTCTTTCATTTTATGCATAAATTAGGGTGCTGCAGAGCAGGATGATGTTGATGAACTATTCTGGCTCAACAGGGGTGGTTAGGCACAGGATGCCGCAGGTAACAAGTTTGGCAGACAAATGCGTGAGTAGCACGGTTGTTTCACCCCTGCACTTGATAAATGGAAGTTGCCTTGTTTCATATAATCTCTATCGTCCAGTCTTTTATTCTCCCACTCCCTTATGTATGAGGCGTGTTGTTCCTCTGTGGCCTGTGTGGGAGAACACCCACCGCCAGTGTGTGAAGTACAGCCGAACCCCGCTACAATGAAACTGAAGGGGCGCGGAAAAAATTTTGCTGAAGCGAAAATTTCGTTGTAGTGAAATCGAAAAAAATATAGTTGATCCCGTACTATGCAATTTAAGTTTGAGTGAATAATTTAAAGCGGCTGACTCCTTAAGTCTGCTTATTTAAAAAACTTTGGGTGCCATGTCAAAATTCCAGATCCTGATTTTGCCGCAAGTCTGCAGAAATGACGGCTGTTAGGAGCCACAAGGCAATGCAGTGTACTGATACTAACGTGTGAGAGGTGAAGCACCCCAGCTTCGCTTTTGCCAGCAAGGAAAAAAAAAATATCATTGTGGTGACTCAAATTTGTGCCTGCAGAAAAGAAGGCTTACTTCACTGCCATAAAGCAGCGACACGCAGGTACCATGTTGCATGCATCTCGCAGTCCGCACATCGATCGCGATTTAACCGTTTTTTATGAGAATATAAAAAAATTAATAAAGGTCAGTCTGAGGGATCTTGAGATATATGCATACCTCGGATTGGTGGCTGCTGCAACCATATGCACACTTACACTCTTGGCGGAGTTCTTGCCCGCAACACATGCTTCAAAAGCTCAGTTCGACAATTTCAGAAACAAAAGAAAATGATCATGTTTTCCAGCCAAAACAAATCGCTAATCCTATCACACTAGCCATAAATAACTTCTTCATTTTACCAGAAAAACTATGCGAATGGTATCTGATGCTGGGAGGAGCTGGTGACATGCTGCACCCGTGTCACCACTGTATTGCAGTGAAGCATATCTTTGTTTCCACGGGCACTCATTTTAGCGGACCACGAGTGCTGTTTTATTTTTATTTATTTTTACGCCGACAACACTGAGGCCCACCACTCCCCTTTTCTTGCGGCGCAACTGGGACCAGGTATTGCTAGAAAAAATAATCCTTAAGGCTACAAGCGAGGCAGCACAGCACCACCACTGCTGATTGCTTTCAATAATTCAAAGTTTCTTGCATTCCCCCCCCCCCGAGCCCCTGCCCCCCCCCCCTTGCACACACACATAAAAAAAACTTTTTGCCATGGCATACAGAGCAAAAAAAAGAAAAAAAAAGACCATTTAAAGGCAGTGCCCCACCCGTAATCAAAAAGGTGCCCCCCCCCCCCCGAAAAAATTTGTGTCTACGCCACTGTTAGCAACATTCCAAACACAATGCTTTTGTTTCCTTTTTCACTACAGCTTCATAAACAATGACATTCATTCAAAGAACGATGAAGCTCAAAAGAGGTATACATGGCTTTCAACTCACCAATAATGGCCTTTTTCCTGTCAGTTTCGGCATCTTTCTCCACAACCTTCTGTCTCTGTTCTGCGATAAGCAACTTCGTCTTTTCAGCTTCCCTGTAACGTTGGCAGAAATGTGCAAAAATAAGAACACTACTCACTTGACAGTTCATCTTGTGATAGGGAAAACTGTCATTCAACTAACCGTAGCATGAAACTCATTTGAATATGGTCTGAGCTTGTTGACAACAGACTACACATTCAACAAGTTGCAGCTGGCAGGTTTCATGATAGCATGTGCAATGCGATGCGTTTACATAACCTAAAGAGTGCAATATAGTAGAACCTCCGGTCACCGTTGCATGTGGAGAGCCATGTAGCCTGAGCAGACATGTCGCATAGAGTGTTGCCATACTAATAGTGTTTTTAATGCTTGAGTGAAAGGGCAAGTTCTGTATGGCATTGTATAAAGTAGTACTGCTATTCAGCCCGTGTCAGTGATTTGTCCGTGTCACTGCTAGCAACCTACACCCCACCGAGTTGCGGTTCTATTTTGTGCCCATCCCTACACGCTGCCAGAACCTGAGTCCCAACTATGGACAAGCCACTCCTACCAATGACATCATTTGTGATGTTTCTCCTCATGTCGCACAAATCTCCTGAATGTGATAACTGGAAGTTTCACTACTGCGCTCTTTAAAATATTATAACATGTCATAGCACAGTAAAACTGCTCTTCATAATCAACAGCTTTTGCCATGCTTGTAACATTATTTTCATCATTTGCATTGCTTATATAGCATAAACGATTTCTTGTGTCTCATAAATTTTATTGCAGTGGGAACTGACTGTATAATGATAAAAGTGGACGATATTTTTCACTGCTGTGCTCTTTGGTGCAATAATTTGAATGAAGTATCTGACATACAGTACAGACCGCCTATAACGTACCGTAATTACTCGAATCTAACACGCACCTTTTTTCCGGTGAGTGAGTTCATAAATCGCATGCGCGTTAGAATCGAGTACGAACAAAAAAATTACGCTCAATCTATTGCCATCGGCAAATCCAAAATGGCCACCCCCTACGTGCGTCGGCATGGCGCGTCAGCTATGTCTGCCTATGTGTTTCCCATGTGCGGTACTTCGTAAGTGTGCTGAGGAGTTCGTCATCTAGTAGTGCATTAGCATCGACGGCGTGGAAGGGCCGACTCCAAAAACTCGAGTGCACCACGATGCCGCTTTTAAAAGAAAAGTCATCGCGTGTGCAGAAATGGATGGAAATCGGGCCGCATCGCGGTCGTTCGGAGTTCCCGAAACGTGCGTGCGGGACCGGTGGAAACAAAAGTAGAAGATTGTCGACAGCAAAGCTTCACGCAAAGGCTTCAGTGGACCACAGCAGGGTCGGTTTCCGCAAATTAAAGAGCTGCTCGGCGAGTATGTGCTTGAGCAGCGAGCGGCACAGCGGCCCGTGACGACAGAACTGCTTCAAGTGCGGGCTATGCAATTAGTCTTAGAAAAAGGTCTAATGCGAAGCCAGTTCAAAGCGAGCAGGTGCTGGCTAACTAACTTTATGAAGAGGAAAGGCTTTTCCCTTCGAAGGGGAACATGCACATGCGAAAAGTTTTGCGGAGGAGTACGATGAAAAGCTTCACAGTTTTCAGAGGTTCGTCCTAAACTTGCGGCGCAACAACGGCTACCTGCTTGGGCAAATCGGGAATGCCGATCAGACGCCTCTTTACTTCGACATGCCTGACACCACAACCGTCGAAAAGAAGGGGGCGAAGCAAGTTTGCGTGCTGACATCGGGCCACGGTAAAAATAGAGTGACAGCAATGCTCCGTTGCACGTCAGATAGGCCCAAGCTTCCCCCGTACCTCATATTTAAACGGAAGACGCTCCCGAAAGGAGCCGTTTTTTCGAGTGGTGTGATCGTGCGGGCCAGCGAGAAAAATGGGTGCGCGTTGCAATCGATGTCTTACTTTTTTTTTTTTTTCGCGGTGGAAATCGGGTGCGCGTTACAATCGAGGGCGCGGTAGAATCGAGTAAATACGGTAAGTCCCAAATATCTGCACTACAGTCGAACCCCGCTACGATGAACGCCGGTTCAATGAAATTTTCGCTACAACGAAAAATTCACGGTTCCCCGTCAGCAGGCCATAGGAGTCAATGCATATTGTCGCCTCAACGCACACTTTTTCTTTTGCGGTCTCGCTTTTACAAAATTTCACGATGCGATTCCAGGCTCAGATATTTATTGCTATACAGGAAACCCAATATTTAACACTTTGACACATTTTGAGAACCTGAAAATACGTCACGTCGACGTCTAAAACGCAGGTTAAAACCACCAGAAACCGCCGCTGTTCAGAAAGCATGGGCGCCGCCATTGCTTGATAGGGATGGCGATGAGACTGCCCTGCTTTTGCCACAGGCTTCACCAACACCTATATAATGGCTTGTTTTCGAGCCACAGACGATCCAAAGCTGAAGCTTAGTCGCTCAGTTCATGGTTTCCTTCACGCAGCTGCCGCAGCTGTTGGGTGCAACCGCGTGGCGATGCCTTTTCGCTTTCAATGCTTATCACTTTATTTGTGCTTGGCCAGTGTGGTACCTAATCAGAGCGGCTGTTCATCCGCATTATCAACCAAATCAGCTAGCCACGAGTGACACAAGAATGCCATAGAACAAGGCAAAGTCACCGCTCCACGATACCCTGCCTTCATCTCGGCGTTGTTGGATACATTTTGACAGCGGACAGCTGCTGGTGTTAACGTGGCAATGCAACTGTTTCGTAAATTCACGAAAGCAGTTGTAGGCGTTGTTTCAGCATGGTTTTCACCATGGCCTCGCTATGCATGACTGTGAATCGCGCTGTAATGCTGCTGGGAAAGAATAAGAAGCAGCGGTCATTTTTTAATTTTAAGACTAAACGTTCCTTTCTTTTGCTAGCTCAGATGAGCTATATTTTTTTGGATTTCACTACAACGAAATACTTTCGTGCCCCATGAGTTTTGTTGTAGCCGGGTTCGACTGTATAAGCAGTACCTCACTATAACCAAAACAACTTTTTTCAAGAGCTGCGCTTGCGCAAAACGTATTGAGCATGCAGTCTCGCATGTCCGAGAATCGAAGCATGTGATGCGTGGTGCTTACAACCATTTAAATTTCTAAAAGTTAAAAAAATCAATGTCCAAAGACGCACATTGCCAACAAAATAAATGTGAAAAGGGTGGAAGTAGGGGTTTAACAACAAAAAAAAAGAACCACTGCGAAAATTCGCCAACTACTTTTCAGACCACCTCAATTATACGCATTACACAGAAACTATGTCGAATCACGTGTGGAATTTCATGCACTGAAAGATGCCAATAGTTCTATTTTATGAGCGCGCACCCAATTTTAATATATCACAATCAAATCATGAGCGACCGTTCGAGAACTACACGTGCCACCCTCGTTTTCATTAACCATATGTATCCCTTCCCATCAAATGTAGCCACCACAAAGAGTTTCGCTTATTTCGTACCAAACCGCAACAACTAGCACAGAACTGCTACCAAAGCACTACCAATGCCAAGCTTGCCATTCGGCATGTTGTCGCGGGAAGTTTGTCGAAGACATAAAGATTCGGCATTGAAAAGATGGCACTTAAGCACTAAACCAATACGAAGTTCGCATATGTGGCCGGGAGATCATCAACGATGAAAACCTGTCAAGCTTACGTAAGACCACGCACTGGCAGCAAAGGCGAAAGCTCATGTTATAAAAACGTAAAGGGTTTTAAATTTACGGATGAGGTAGCAAACGCGATACCAGTAGCAAGCTCGATAATGACGCTTTGTCTGACAGGAAACTGTCAAGCTTAGTTGATAAGGATGGGATGGCACGTGCCCTGATGAGCCGCGCGCAACAAGAGCAACGCTAGGGATGCATACACTGTAGTCGCATCGGCGCCGGTGAAAAGGTATATCCGTCGCCCTCGGTGGACTCGCGCAGCGTGCCGGGGTCTTTTTTCCTTTTTTTTTCTTTCCTCTGTCTTTTGTTTGTTCCCTCTGTGTTCCCATCCTCCACCATAATGACCTCATCACTCGCTCCTTAAGGGCCCACCCAGCGTGCCTCCTTTGAGAAGCGCACTCTCTATTGCATTGGTCACAAAGATTTTACGGCAACTGCATTATTACCGGTCTTTCATCTTTAGGAACTGCCCGATAAGCGGTACGCGTACAGTTTGTGGGGTTCTATAAAGGGTAAACGGGACCGCACTGCAAACGCACTGTAAAAAAGACCGCACTGTAACCGATTCTGCTCCATAAGCGGTTATGCTAAAGTGGTCTACACTGTACAACCTCCAATACGTCGCATAGCTTGAACTTGTCGACAGTGATGAGAATATGTTTAAAGAACTGGTACACTGAAAGATAATGAGCTACTGCAGATGAGAGAACCGTACTGAATACTCATACAGCAATAACTTCATCGTGTAACTTACATCATTTCATAGTTACGTCTGATTGTTTCGGGAATTTTCGGCTTGGTCACTCGCACTGCTTGCACAAATAGGCCAGGTGCCATCACATTGAGGTCTCTCTGCAGGGCAGTCTTCAAGTTCTCATCAATCTGGTCTGAAATCGGAGAGAAAAAAGAAGTGTGCCTATGACAATGCACATTCAACTGATCCAGATTCTGTTGACAAATGCTGTGAGTAAATTAGAATGAAACGATCACTCGCTGCTCCCAACGGTCTGCCTTTGGTTCCCGAATTTTCGGCGGTACAGTTGGAAAGCAAGCAGTTCTTCGAGTGCATAGCGAAGGTCCATGCCAGCCAATATCGCCAAAAAAAACTGCATGGCTATAAGAATGCACAACTAACAATGACGATGCAGGTCAAACTGAAGTGAAGCATAAGGTATATTTGTACTACGCTTTTACCCAAGTACGAAAGCAACTCGACAACTAGTAAAGTGCCTACATTAACAAATAACATTAACATATGTGTCTGCCGCAAAAAAAAAAAAAAAGTCCGACAACTTATTTGTGTCCTTTCTTGCGACTGTAGCAAGTCTACGAAGGGCGTGCAAGACGAGCACCATATTCTTAGGCTCACGTTCACGAGGTTCTGAGAAATGTCGGCGTCGCTAATGTATATCATTGAGGTGTCAGTCGCAGATGACCGCACAACAGCATTTTCTTTTTAGCCATGTTTTTATTCCCTTTGGTCAGCTGACACACACACAAAAAAAAGGTGCGAAGTGTTCCGGCCCATCGTCGCGAGATCGTTGCTCTAGTCGGCTCCTTTGTCGGGAAGGACTGCCCTCTTGAATGTTCTGCAGCGCCAACGAAATAAGGACACTTGGTACACAGGTGATCGTATTGCTTTCTCTATTAGCGCCGGGGGGGGGGGGGCGCAATTACAGTAAAGCTGCTTTCCCCCTCTGCCTTCTTAATAATACGTCTAGTACGAAAAAATACAAGAGTTGCACTGGTCCTCGTCAATTCTGTGTGTGTTGTGTCTACTTTTTACGCTGGGCAGTTTAATATTGAAAGTCCAACTAGCCCGATCCCACACATCTGCACTTTCACGTAATTCGAAGCTTGTGCATTCGGATGCCACTGTCGAAAAGGGTGCTTTTTTTCCCCCTCCATTTTGATTCATTTTAGTTTATGTCATAATTATTGTATGTCAGTTATAACTTATTTGCATCCTTTCTTGCCACTGTAGCAAGTCCACGAAGGGCGTGCAAGACAAGCCCAATATCCTTAGGCTCACGTTTACAAGGTTCCGAGAAATGTCGTTGTTGCTAATGTACATCAAAAGGTGCGGCGATAGCGTAGTGGTTAGAGCATCCGCCTCGCATGCAAAAGGTCCGTGGTTTAAATCCCGGTGCTGCGCATTTCTGAACCGGATAAAAAAAAATTCGCGTGGTGATGGAACCGCATTAAGAGGCCTGGGGAGCGGCCTCACCGGTAATCACCGCCGGTAACGCACTCCCTCACCAAAGAAGGATTGGCCACCCACCCTTGTGCAGTATCTGGTCAATACCTCCCACATGCATACGTCAATTAACTCACAGCCCTCAGTCCCCAGCAGCTGCGAAGAAACCGAGCACGGCGGTGGTCAGATCTGGAACGCAGCAGAGGGTGCTAAGAATCTCTGCATCCGGACAGGCCACCATTGGAACCTGAACTTGGCGGCAACGCTAGAATCTTATCTAGTGAGGGAAGTCTAGCTGTACTATTCGAAGAGCTAGAGGGTGTTAAGTGGGATATAATAGGGCTCAGGGAGGTTAGAAGGACAGATGAGGCCTATACGGTGCTACAGAATGGGCACGTCCTTTGCTATCGGGGCTTGGCTGACAGAAAAGAACTGGGAGTGGGGCTCCTAATTCACAGAAACATAGCTGGCAACATAGAGGAATACTATAGCATTAATGAAAGGGTGGTAAGTATCGTAATTAAACTGAATAAAAGATGAAGGTGGTACAGGCTTACGCGCCTACATTCAGCTATGATGACACTTCAGTTGAAAGCTTCTATGAAGACATGGAATCGACAATGAATAAGGTAAAAACGCAGTAGACTATACTGGTGGGAGACTTTATTGCAAAGGTAGGTTAGAAGCAGGCTGGAGACCAAACAGTAGGAGATTATGGCATCGATACTAGAAACGCCAGAGGAGAGCTACTAGTAGAATTCGCAGAACGCAATAATTTACGGATTTTGAATACCTTCTATCGAAAACGAGGAAACCGCAAGTGGACATGGAGGAGCCCTAATGGCAAAAATAAGAACTAAATAGACTTTATAATCAGTGCACACCAAGGCATCGTGCAGGACCGGATTAACTGGCGGAACATGGGAGAGGCCTTTGTCCTGCAGTGGACGTAGTCAGGCTGATGATGATGAAGTTCTGCTTAGACGAACACTATCAAAGGCTGCATAGTTTGGACTTTGCAGATTGGTGGATACCTTTGGACTTGCAAAAACGTTGGTATTATCTCACTTCAAGGTGTATTAAAGTTGAAAGAATGCAAAACACAATCTGTGTGACCAGAGTCCTACGTAGGAAATATTGAGTGGACACATGAGAATCAGGGTGGGGATGGGGTGCTCTGTAGTGCACTGCCACATGCAAAAAGACCAGTGTAAGTTTCATGTCCGAGAGGTGGGCAGTGGTGCGTGGGCAGTTACAGAGATGGGCACATGGTTAGAACAGTGGTTTTGCCGCCCACGATGAAAAAAAAACTGTGTGCTACGGTGTGTTTTATTGGCACAATTACTTTTTATAAACCAGTAAGTTGACTTGTTGCGAAAGCTGTTCTGTATATGTAGACAACATCACTTCACACTTCCCGCATCTAATCTTGGAGGAAACAGAAGCGGTGGCGAATATGCATCTACCGTGTGCATTAACAAAGTTGCCGAAGCACATCAAATACAATGTTTTGCATGTACCCCCTAGAACAAAAAATGACAATATAAAAAATCTTTAGCAGCCACTGCTGGCCCATTTACCGTGTAAGTAAACATACACAAAAATCTTGACATTAAATTTCACACAACTCTTAAATTGGGCAACCCATATTTCCACTATGAAATGAAGAATCATTCAGTTGCTACAGGGTAATGCAGGCCCAAAAATTCAAGCTGTGCGAATAGCAAAATTTTGGGTGCAAAGCACAAATACAGTTAGTGCGAATCAAAGCTAATAGTTTTTGAATATGTCCCCAATATTTTTCTAATACTTTCAAGGAAACTAAAAAAACAGTAGCTGCGGAATCCTGAGCATATTTGATGTTACAGAAGGGTGCGGCAAAGGGCTGTAAATGAGATGTGTTACAAAAAGATAATGCAGGGGCTTAAGTGTGTTTGTGCACATCATTTCGTGAAACCAAAGTGGTGTCGATAGATAACACTTCGCACGTTTTCTTGCATTTCCTTGTCAAGGTACGTCAATGCTAAGCCTACAGTGTTGGCAATAAACTTATCACAGCTACGTGTTGCAATATCAGTGAAAGCAGTGTTGTAGGCTGCTGCCACATTGCATCCACAGAAGTTGAAGCTCAATTGAAGAGGCTGAAAAAAGCATGCCCTTCGGGTTGAGAGTTCCTCTTCCACTGCCCCTCTCTTACTCCTTGGCTACAAGTGCTTTTTGAGGTAGTCATCGGTGCTGGCATTGGTTGTCATGAAAGTGGACAGATGTCTTTTTCACATGGCTAGTGTGAATGCTCAGCAACCTGGTCAAGTAACATCTTTTCGTTAAAATGTAGATCAAAACATGCCCATAGACAAGGCAATTCATTTTTCACAGTAACTCTTATAGCTGGTGGCAGCATGCTGCCTGCCACGTAAAACGAAACTGTGCTGATAGCTATCAGAAGTAATGTGGGCGACATAACGTGCTATATTGGTGTGAGTCTTGGTAAGTACATACTTAACCATTTCTGAAATGACATTGACGAATTTTATATCGTAAGCTGGCTTCACGACACCAAAACATTATTCGGGAAGCAGATTTCACAAAACGAGTTGATATAGTACGAAATTAAAACCAGCTTCATGGCATTAGCAACAGCCGACCACCAGTGGCAGACATAGTGACATCATCTCCACAAGATGGTGATGGAATGCACTTTCATTAAGTTAGTCGGCAGAACCTTATTTCGTGCTCAATTACAGTCTGCCACACGCGACAATGGGTAAACTGGGGCGCCTGCCTCCGCTGTGTGCGGTGTGTGCACAATACATATAGCTTGAACTTGTGCCTCTGAAGTAGGAACCTCTCAGCAGCTAACTGTGTGTGCCATGTTGACTATGTGCTTGTTTCAAGACGGGACCTGCATTTCATACATAGGGGAGCTTTCTGTCGATGTGCTCACAGTTCTGATCCCATTGATCGATAACAGTTTAACCTATTAAGTAGGTGACCATTACCATGTTACTGCATGTATGAAACGTATGGATGTCCACGGCCAGAAAATTGAGGCATGTTACATATAAGTTCATGCTATGCTCCCGCCCTGCTTTATTGCAGCTGCTAACCGACAATCCTAGGTCTGAGCTGTTCGTGGAAGGTGTAACTCGTGGAACTGTGAATGGAAACAGGCTTGTCCCACATGGCCCTGAAAGAGAGCCTTCGTCTGTAATAACCATACACAAGCATGCATTACTTGAACACATAAATTGAAATTTAGGTTTTTCATGCTTTGCAAATGTGTCATTCTGCATAGTCAACACAGCGTACATACCAAGCTATGGAGAGATTCCTAGCTCAGATGCACAAGTCGGGACGATATGTATTGTACACACATTGCACACAGTGAAGACAGGCACCCCAGTGTCCTCATTGTTGTGCATGGTCAATATAGTGCATCTATTGCACGGCAGGGAGATTCCCTACTCCTGACACAAAATTAAATGGGATCTGTTAAAGAAAGTGTTCTGCCTTTTCCGATGCCATTCAGTTTCCCCAGTAAGTGCACCGTCAACAAGGCACACATAGTTACGGAGATATTTTGAACTTTGAAGACCCGAGTCCTGTGTATTCCAAGACAGTGCACACAGTGTCCGGAATTATAGGATGTCATTCAATTACCCCAATAAGTGCGTTATAGCAAGGGGATTTCCTACTTCTGAGACACGGTCGAGTCCGATCTATTCATTGCAGTTTAGTGCATGCAATGAAAAAAGGCCCCAGACTTCTCAAACATGCAGTGACAGGTAATTAAAACAGCCGTTATCAACAGACTGCACAGGCACTCGCGAAATGTATAACGGATTACACAGGAACCTTACCAGAAAGCTGAAACTACAGGGGCGAATTCAGCCACCATATGTTGAGGCAGTCCGGCAACATTGAGCCCCCCCCCCCCCCCTCAATAGGACAACCGATTTTAAGCAACACCAAACAGAACCCTGGTGTCTATTTTCAGTGCTCAAAACCTGCATCAATGAGGGGTGCGAACTAAGGAACAAGGTGTTCAGTTGCACATTGACCAGGATACAAGCCGAAAATGGGAATATATCTGGAACTTGATGACAAGCTTGCAGACATTCTCAAGAAGCTCCATCCAGCCCGAGCATGTCAAGGTAAGAGCTCTTAAAGCGGCTCGAAATCAAGACACTGAACGAAAGGACCTCCCAGTCGTATAACCTTAACTTCCCATAAAGTGCACTGTGCTAGTTTTTTTTTTTCCTTTGTGATCGCTACCATAGGGGCGTGCCATAGTTTCAAAATATCTTTTAGAAGTGCTGTAATGTGATTGCTACAGAAAACTATTATTTTATTTTCCTGGTAGTTTGTATACTTTCAATAGTCAAATTCGATGGTGAATTGAGTCGAATAGCAAAAAAATATTTGAAAGTTTGAATTTCCATTCACTTCTAAATGCTGAACAGTACTACTACGCTATCAAAGACATTTTACAATTAGCCTATTGCATTGACACATTTCCCTTAAGCTTTAAACTAGAAGCCAATTGACATTCTACCAAAAAGGGCCATTGAATTAATTACCCTCTCACCTCAGACTATGCCGACAACACCACTTGTCAATCCAGTGAACATTGCAACACTTAACAGTGATTGTCATATTAAAGAGATACTGAGCCTGATAGAAAATTCTGGAGGTGAGATGACTTGTGGGACAGATTTGTTTAGACACACATATAATCCAAGATATATCAGTGGATAATATACAATAGAACATTTTTAAAATCGCCCTGCCGCGGTGGTATAGTGGCCTTTAAGGTACTCTGCTGCTGACCAGCATGTCGCAAGATCGTATCTCGGCTGGGACGGCTGCATTTTTGATGGAGGCGAAAATGCAGTAGGCTCGTGCACTCAGCTTTGAGTGCATGTCAAAAAACCCCAGGTGGTCAAAATTTGCGGAGCCCTCCACTACAGCGTCTCTCATAATCATATTTTGGGACATTGAACCCCACATATTGAATCAATCAACATTTTTAAAATCAATTTTAAAGTGCCCGTCGCACCACTCCACGCAAAACACACTTTAGGTTTCCATGCAAACAACCAACTGCCCCCTGCGTCACGAGTTTGTGTTGGCTGCCATGATCTTTGCGAGCACTCTGTCCTAATCGACCTTTTTACGAAAAGAGGGGTCAGACCTGTACAGCAGTACGCTGCTTTGGCAGTACATCCTTTAGGGGTTATGCATATTTCCAATGCCTCAGAAAGGATTAGAGCAGCACCCAGGAGGCCTTCATTGAAAAGAGTTGTCAATGTGGTATGCAAGCGTTTTTGAGGGCTCATGACGTCAGCTATGCTACTCAAAAACGCCTCTGGGTCCTGACCAGTCTTTGAAACCAAAACTGCGACTGTGCGCTGTGATACCGTCTCTGATTAATTAAGTGCCGGCGCTTAATCAAATAAGATTTTTAGCCATGATAAGAGGGCCCTCAGCAACCTATTGCAACAATAAAAAAAAACAAGATACAAGTTTTTTGTGTCAGTGTTCCTTTAAAGTGGTCCTGCAACACTTTTTGAGCATGGTCAGGAACCCTGCCAATCGGTAGTAAAGGCTCTCGTCAACACACGAGCTAAATATTATAGCACAGCACGCCAGCTTGGAATTCAGAATTATCAAAGTCAGCTAAAAATTGCTTTCTCTTCTCTCAACAAATCACAGAACATGCCCAACAATCGCACGTAGTAAGCCCATCTATCAGCCATCGGCTGATTTGAACAGGGCGCTCAGTTGTTACAGAGATTGCCGCAAGAGGCCGTGGCTTGTCCTCGCGTGCGCGCGCGATCACACTGGAAAAGTCGCGCATTCAAAGGAAAAAAAAGAAAAAAGTGCTCAAGGTTACGAGGCGCGCGTGACATTTTTCTGTGGCCCTGCCATCACTCCCTGCTTAGCTTCCAGCACTTTCGTTGGGACGAGAGAATCGAAATTGCAGCATGCGACAAACCTTTGGAACTGCACTCGCGCTGGATGGATTCCTAAAATTTTTCCGCCGTTGAATTCGTGAAGCAATAAGCTCTTCCAGTGAATTCATTGCATGGTTAGTTAAAAAAGGGTTTCAGGGCCCCTTTAAGCCTGCTATTTAAGTGCATAAGATACCTTATAGCACAAACATCCTCTTTCATTTAGTCATTGTTCTCTTTACTTACAAATAAAAAGCATGGAAAGCTCACCAGAGCACCCCAAACTTCCAGAGAACTTATAGCAACTACGGATGCTGATTAATCATATTCACTAGTGCCTAACATGTAACATTTTTCAGCTTGTAAATTTGTTTACCCAGCCACTTATCTACGAGTCGTTGCACTATGTAGTAAAATTTTTTAAGTGTCCACAACTAGAAAATGGCTATGGCACCAGGTGCTTTCCACACCACTTACTGTGTTTCATTATCTGATAAAATAAACATGAACAAAAAAACATCCCTAATAGTTAGACTAAGTGCAGTACTCGTGGATTGAAACAGAACAATTTAGGACTATTTAACATACATAATTTTGTTTCCACCGTTTTAACATTGTGTTATATGGGCGTAATTTCAACTTGAACCCATAGATAAGAGGCAACATTATCTTACGAACCAGATTTGTCATGAGATCATGCGGTTATTTCAAGTAATTGGGCATACTAGTTGTTACACTAAAAAAATGTGAAGTTCTGCTTGAATTCGTGAGTACTGTACATCCAATGGATCGCAGTAAAGGCATATTTACCAATGCAATTGCTCTTGGGACGAGCAGTACCCCCAATGCAGACAGAAGAAAGTGCCAAGTGCGATCACAGGTTGTGAGTATGCAAGCAAACTTTATGAAAGTTTCTAGCAGAAAAATTTTTCTAGCAGTTTCTAGCAGTCAGATATACATAACTAATATGTCCCAGAGAATGTACGACAACACAAATTTTATTCAGATTTGTTCTCTGGTCTCCTTTTGCACTGGCTTTCCAGCATTCCTACTAGAACTGTGGTGTGTTGCTCTGACAGGCAGTAATGCCAGGCTGATTTCAATCCCCAAGCATGACAAGTCTACCCGATATACCCTGCTCATTCATAATGACTAGTTTTATTCCGGTACTTTACCACCAGACTACTTCAGCTGGAATTTCTGCTGCAAATGCCATGTCACATCATGGATGTTTTTCAGAAGTATCCCAAAGCCCTGGAGTGACTCTATATTTGCTCCTCACCTGCCTTAAAAAGAACTACTGCTAGGTATAAATCTAGTAGAGGCGTTCAATGCCCTTGAAGAAAGCAAAAAAAAAAAAAAAAACCTTCCCCCGGTCAGTCAGCAAGTCAATGCACCTTCTCAAATGCACTGAATTTTTTTCACTACAATATGGCAACAGTTACTGCTCTTCTGGAAATGGCGTTGTCACCATCACAGTATCCCACAAAATCGTGGATTGTTTAGCTTAATCGTGGTTTCTGGTAAACGAAGATAGCTTCACAGCAAGAAGTCCAGCTATAAATTTTCTAAGTATGGTGTACCTTATCCTTCAAAACAGTCTGAAGGACTGAAAAGAGATGATCTCAAACAGTAATGAATAGCACAAGGGACGTCCAGCTAGCTTTAAAAAGCAACACTGAAGCAAGCTCATAAAATAACAAAGACAGTGAAAGCAACAAGGATGACTGAACAAAAGTGTTATAGCGAGCTGCCCGTGGTCATACTTCAGCTTACCAAAATTTGAACTTACCAAACAAGTTTATGTAGACTTCCTGGAGGTTGTGGACACTGCAGAACTGATTTAGTTCATGATGAACCTTATTAAAGATCAGTGTCTTGTCGTAGTCGGCAGTGTAGTTCTTCACCATGTCGTAGACTGTAACAGAAACTTCGCATTGTGAGGCTGCCTCGGAAGGCTCAATACCATGAGGACTCAAATTCCTGGTAAATTTACGACAACTCTACTAAAATGAAATTTGCAGGATACGTTCAGTTTCCGAGCTCTTTGAAAACGATAAAAGAAGTCCTGCGAAAATCTGAATAAGCATATAGGCCGTGATGAACACAGCCTTCAGTTATGAAGGGAGTTTCAAGGTAAGTACTGCGGCTTGAAAAGCTAAGTGTGCACTATGCTAGTGGCAAAAACAAACATCTCCGTCAATCAGAGTTCCCTTGTATGTGCCAGTCTCCTCATTAATTTTTGCCATTGTTCACCTCCCTGCAACTCGTACTACTCAATTCATCATATTTCAGTTTGTAAAGTGGAAAATTCAACTGCAGCCAATGTGAAATTTAAAAAAAATGAAAAGTCAGTACAGTAACACGCCAATGCCAATATATTATTAGAGTAAGCCATGAGTAAACCTATTACTTTAGCTAGTGGTATCAGGTAAACGGCTGTTTATACGATGCATTGCAAAAATATGCATGACATTTCTCGAAATAAGAAAGGTGCAATACATAATTGAGCAATTTTTTTTCCTGTTGCTTTAACCGCGCAGGCAAACATATACACAAGTCCCATGTAAGTAACTAAGACAATCATGAAAGCTATAGTAACTTTATACTGTACTACAAGGCTATGACTAGCCCAGATGTAAGACATGAAGCCTGCCCACTGAGGTGCCATAAGTGGTTTCAAGTAAGCAAAAGGCTTACATGGCCAATTTCAGCCGTCTATGGAATTTCAGACAATTTCTGAAATGAAATTGTCTGAAATTATTTTTATTTATTTTATAAATAAATAAAAATAAATAAAAAACAAAACCGAAACCCAACTGCCTAACAGCACATCTGTCATTTGCCGAAAAAATGCCCCAAGTTATTAGCCTCATCGTCAGCAAGGCATAAAGTGAGTGAGGCTGCTTACTTCATGCTCACATGACGGTGAGGCAAAAGCAAAAATATCAGTGATAGTCGTCTAGTAAGGCAATGTCCCTCAGTATAAAGACACGAAAACTGGGGGATCCTAAAAAAAAAATAAACTGAACATGACAATAGTACTTATTAGCAGTTAGGCGTTGGTTTCCTGCATAAAATTACCTGGAATTCATTAGATTATAAAGGCAGCAAATTCGTAAATATTATTAGCATGAGGTTTCCAACAGTACTAGTTAAAACGTTACAGTCTAATTCTTACAGTCACTTATGCAAGTATTATCTCGATTTATTTTAAAATGTGCAGCCCCCGTGGAAAGTGAGGACTACAAAGTCCAGTGATTATTCGATGTTTCCTTTTCTTGACTTTCGCTCATTTTCTAAAACACCTAGTAGTACGCAACAGTGATACAAAAAGCAGCTCACTTTGCAACAAATAGCAGAAACAGTGCAAATGCAAACTTCACAGTAGCAATTTTTCATAATTAGTACCTTTATTTTGTATCTTTTTCTGACCTTACATTTACGAGACATCAAATACACCAATGCAGAGACTCAACTTAGTCAGCTAGCAATGATATTGTTTCAGAACTTAACATTTGACATTTCCTAATGCCAAGCAAGCCTCTATAGACCTTTTCTTAGAGGGCTCCCTGGGTGCTGCCACAATCCTCTCTGGGCTTCGCTAAATAGTCGTGAGCCCTCCAAAAATGCATTACTGAGGCTGTGATGTCAGCCTTTGTGCTCCTGTGCAGAGCCCTGTATGGAAACGTTTGTTTTCTCTCCAGTGAACAGGTCTATAATGTCTCTCTTAAGCCTGTTTTCGGCTTGCTTTTGAAATATTTCACTATAGAACAAAGGCAGACACTTGTATCATTTGCAATAGTTAAGTGCTTTTTGTGCACAAAATGAGGTTGTGGGTTCATGTAACAAAAGTTTTTTTTTGTTGTTCAATTAGCAAAAGTGCTCTTATAAAATGAATACGGAAGTTTTTCTTTCCACAAAAATCTTTGTGATGTCGCATGAGCTAAAGAGACAGTGCTAATAGTGGATGCAGTAAACGAACACTGCAATAGTTAGTACTGTTGGTTCAATTTTTCTCATGTAAGTTGCTCTGATTCATCTATTAAGGCACTATGAAACAGGGCGAGGAATGAGCATGCCACTGTCATCACCCACTTTGTGTACACACATGTGAGAGTATATAGGACACATTCTCTGCTCACAGCAATTATAACTGCTGAAAAGTACATTAAGATATAGATGAAAACAGGTTTTTCAAATTCTTACCACTGTCAGGGCTTAGGATGTTCACAACCTCAATTCTGTCGAAGTAGATCATGACCCCACCACTGCAATTAAACATTAAATAAGCAAGCACCACTTAAGCAGGCCACCTCAGGAACATGTGTCAGCAATAACACTCCTGCAATTAACAAGCTCACTGGGAGGCTTGCCACACATATTGCCAGCACTTAGTAACAAGCACGAATAGAAAGTTGAAAGCCCTACTTAGAGCATAATTTGTTTAGTTCTACCAGCATCATACTGTGGATCTAAGTAGCAACAAATGGAGCTGTCCCATTGTATTGAACACAAAAGCAGGACCTTAGCTAATCACATGTTTTTACAACCTTTAAAACTAGGAGCGACAGAACCAGAAGCAGCAAAATGCAAACATTTGGAAACCCAAAGGAAGGATGAATGTCCCAACTTAGGGTTACAGCTGTTATGGCTTGGATATCCAACAGGCGATGCACCAATGAGGAAAGCGGAGAGGCAGCTGGCCCTCTAAAATTTTTACAAGCCCCTCCTCTACCTTCCCACCTTTTCTCTGAAAAAACTATATTGCCCTGGGTGCACTACCAGTAAAGAAATCCTGGCCAGTAAAGAAATCCTGGCACCGACCCTGCTACCTAACAACTCCTACAGTTACTTCTGTGCCCATTCCACCAAGCTATTAGAGTAAAAAAAATGTTCAAAACAATAGCTAATGCTTCCCAGGTGGAACCTAATGATCTTTTTTTATTTAATGTTTGTGGTACTGCAGCATTTACTCCAATTCAGTAACTTGTAGCAGTTACTGCTTTTCAATAACTTGCACTGGATCCATCGAAGACATATTTTTCTTTCCAACTTCAGAGTTTCAGTGTGACATGATATGCTGAAGTGCTCGGACTTCACAGCGTAGCATATGCAATATTTGTATGTTTGGTACGAATAAAACGCAATGTCATCTTCAACGACAAAAAGTGGCAGCGGATGTTTTAAAAGAAACCTTCAGGAGACCTGCTGCTTTTTTTCATGCGCATATTACTAGGTTTTTAAATGTACCTGGTCCCGCAGGGCACATTTTTAACTTCATCTGTTTGGAGAGTTACCTGAAAAACAGACAAATAAAAAAAGCTTGCGATTATTCACAAATTACTGGTTGCACAGATAAATTTGGTCATCATTACGATAAAAATTTAAGTTGATAATCGACTATTTACCTTAGGCCAGATCATCCTATACGTGCACACATAGAGTGGGGGAGCATAGCTTGAGACTCACTACATTCAAATTACTACGCAAGGCCAACTTACCTGAATTGATCGATAAGTGGTAATGAACGGGATCATCATATGAAATCCTGGATGGCTAGTTTGCTTAAGCAGTGCGCCTCCCTGGTGAATAAATACAATATTTCATTAGATAATGCGACACAACATATTTGCCAATGAGTCGAACGCTAGCTCACCCGGTAATAAACCCCAACATGACCTGAAAGAAGCGACAAGAAAAACTGTTAACTACAGCAAGCTCATCTGCTTACTGTACTGCAGGCATTATTTCTGCTAATTACGTAAATTAAGTCAACATGGTCAAAGGAGCCATAGCGGCCGACGCCTTACCTTCGTCAATTTTGTGCAGAGAAAAGTTGACGATGAGGAACAATGCAAATGCACATATCAGAGCTGCGACTCCTGAGTTTGGCATTTTACGCCTGCAAAATTGTACCAAAGAATGCACCAGTTTCCACATATCATTTCACGAGAGAAAGCACGAGCGTTTACTTACCAGGCAAGTTATTGTGCCACAGCAAAATCTAGGCTTGGTTACCTACTGAACACTGCTAAACGCACATTTAAACTTGATGATTCCAGACTAGATTTCAGGAGAAACAGAACATGGAAATTACAAAAGAGAGAACATAACGAAAACAACACGATAACATTCACTACAATGCGCGCTCGCCGAACGCGTGTTGGTCGCTTCCTTGGCCCTAGAGCGTGCTTGTGCCGGCTGCGACTCTGTCTGAGACTCGGCTGGAATCAAATTTTGTTTTCGATCTGAATGGATTGACTCTGGCAGAGCTTCCTAGATTTCTTTTGCCTGTCGGATGAGCGCAAAACGCCCATCATTTTTGGCGGCGCTACCTACGTAGGGTTTAGGGTGTTTGTATTCGGCCTTTAAGATTAGCAATTTTGGCGTTTGCAACAAATTTTGAAGGCTTTGCCTTAAATTGAATAAGTTGTCTGTTGAATGACAAGGTCACTTACGTAGGAATAATTATAAGTACGTTTACGCCTTTTAAAAACTTTTTTACGTTCTTTTGTTGCATATAAGCTCCAAAAGCAAAGAAGTATACGTGAAGACAATCCCTACCCAGGTGACGCCACTACCATAGTTTTGACGATGGCCGTTTTTCAAGTGACCGCCAATAATCCGGCAGACAAGGAAAATCTAGGCGGCTATGACTCTGGACTCAGATTCTCAACGCAAAATTGAAAGAAAAATACGCACAATTTTAGCAAAAATAAATGGAGACTTACTTCATATAGCTCTTGTTTTATTAGCCCGAGATCGAGTGGAGTCGTCGCCTGGTGGCCACTGGCTGAAGCTCTTTTGTGTGGGGTCTAGAGCGCGCGCACTTGTCTGTGTGGGTGAGTGCACGCGCTCGCGCATGTTCTTTTTTGCGTGCAAATGAGTTACCACGAAGATTTCAGGGGCCAATGACTTGATTGCAGAAGCAGTGCCATGCTCAACCTGCTGGGGTGTTCTTGGCTGAGGATTGAGTGGTTTTAACTTTCTGTCTTAGAGTCCGATTCTATAGTTTATCTGCTTCTGAGTCTAACCATATCTCTAGTGCTCATGTCGACTACTTCTCCTGGCCAGGCGCGATCCGCCTGGTCAGCGTCCTTGCCGTCTAATGAATTACCCCTAGACTCCTTTTTCCGCAGTGGTATCGACAGCATTCCCGTAGCACTGGTACCTACAAATGGAGGCTTCATCAGACTTTCAAACCCTCAGGTGGTTCAAAAGGAACTTAAGGCAACTTCAAATCATTTCCAGACCATCACAGATGTGCGCCCATTTGGGCGAGGAGGTATCGTGTGTAGGTCGCCGGATCAGACCTGCGTGCAGGATCTTCTCAAATGCACCTCCTTTGCTGCTACCCCGGTGGGTGCTTTTATTCCGCCTCACCTTGCATGTACCAAAGGCCTTGTACGGGGAGTCGACTCCAAGCTGAGTCCAGCTGAGACCCTAGACAGGCTCTCTGGAGTAGGCGTAATTTCAATTTACCGGTGTAATCGCCTAGTCGACAACCAGATGGTACTAACCGAATCTGTTATCGCGACATTTGTGGGCACAAAATGCCCGTCAGAAATAAAATTATGGCCACTGATCTTCCGAGTAGAACCACTCGCTTCTCGTCCGAGTCAGTGCAAGAACTGCTGGAGATTCGGCCACAGTGCGGGAGGATGTAAATCTAACGTTCGTTGTAGCACCTGCGGAGAGAGTCATCCTTCAAGCAATTGTACTGCAACAGTGGAAAAGTGTTGTCTCTGTGGGGGCAGTCACTGCGCCGACAACTCGGACTGTTCCACTCGTTCCCGGGAGGTTCAAATCCTAGAAGTTATTGACCGCCGCCGCTGTTCTCGAAGGGAAGCCATTGACATAGTTAGAGACAGGGCTTTTGGATACTCTGCTATTACAGCGCGCTGCACTTCCAGTATAGACTCAACCCTATCGCAGGCTATTGAAACTGCTGTGGAAAAGGCAGTGAGCAAGGCAATGGATAAACTAATATATAACCTTTCCGACTGTTTAGTGCAAATTCTTTCAAGCCAGATTGGACAAACAGTACAGACTAGTACAGAACCTGCAGTATTACACATTACCAGTGACGCCACACAGCTACGCAATGTAGTGATGGACGAACTTTCTGCATCTGCAGGCAAGGCTAAGCAGCCAGGAACACAGGTGCACTTGGACCGACATTCACCTCGGCCGAGTACAAGTACTGATACAGATATGGAACTCGATATACGAACTAATAAACGTACCAAATCCCCTATCTTCACCGATCTCAAGTCCGAATCTAAACGGAATGAATCAGCTATTTCGCGTGAAGATGCTAACAAGGGCGCGACATGCGCCTCTGCGGTGCGCTCAACACCATAGGTCAGTTGAGGGTACTACAGTGGAACTGCCGTTCTATATTCTCAGCCTCAACCGACTTACATTACTTTTGCAATAATTTTAATCTTGATATTATAATTCTCCAAGAAACTTGGCTTACACCAGATAAAAATTTCCATCTTGCAGGTTTTCGTTCTTTTCGATTAGATCGCCCATCACGTGGTGGTGGTTTAATGATCCTTGTATCAAGTAAATTATGCCATAGGGCGAAAGTTTCTTTCAGATTGTTAGACTTGGATTGTGAATTATTAGCATTAAACTTGTGTCTCCCCGGATACCACCCTTTTTCAATCGTAAATTGTTACTTCCCCTCCGGTGTGCAAAGCACGCGTTATCTTGACAGCGTTTTGGTAGCATGTAGAAAGGAAATTGTACTCACAGGAGACTTTAATTCACACCATTTGTCTTGGGGTATAAGGACAGATTCTTGTGGTAGGCGACTGTGGGAATGGACTATTGATCACAACCTCTCCTGTCTGAATAAAGGTCATGTAACATTTGTCCGAGGTCAAACTAGCTCAGTATTGGATTTAACGTTTTGCTCCAATGCAATCAAGATTTTGTCATGAGCTGTTCTGGATTCGGCAACTAACAGTGACCATCTTCCTGTAGTTTTTGACATTACTTGTCCAACAATAACTTTAGATCAGCCAAAACGCACATACATCAACCATAGCAAATTTCAAGCCTGCCTCCGCTCTGCCATTTCCAAGCTTGGAAATGCCAGTACTAAGGAGATTGCATCTACGATTGGTTCAATGCTGGAGGGATCTAGAAAAATTTCTGAATTTTCTATTCCATCCAATAAACGATCCTCCTCTCGTTGGTGGAACGATGAGTGTACGCGCGATTATAGAAGACTAAAAGCCGCTTGGAAAAAACTTCTTCTCAATCAGAGCCCAACAAACTGAAAAAACTATCAATTCCTTGCTGGCGTATTTAAGCGTACAGTGAACCGCGCGAAAGAAGAATACGAGAGTAGACATTTTGATTATCTTTCTAAATCAAAAAATAAGCGTGCTTTGTTCGCTTATCTTCGGACAAGAAAAGTACTACCAGCACTTTTAACGTTGCAGTCATGTGTCTTGACGCCGGTAGAAATGAACACCTCTCTAGAAGACATAGCGCAAGGTTTAGAACGCCGCTTCACTGCGAATTTTTCGGCTATTCAGTCCGTTCTGGTAAACTTGCATGAATTTCCAGAAGTTTCTTTAGCTGAATTGAATCAGACAGTATTATGCTTACCGAGGACGGCTCCCGGACCAGATGGGATTACGAACTCTATGTTGAAATGTTTACTCCAGGAATCGCGTAATCTTTTGCTAGAACTAGTGAATTATTCTTTAGGGAATGCATGGATACCTCCAGAATGGAAACTTGCCAAAATTGTATTGTTGCTAAAAAATGAAAATGATGCATACACGTTGGATAACATAAGGCTGATCGCACTGACATCAAACTTAGTGAAATTGGTTGAGAGAATCATCAATATACGAATTAATGAACTTATTACCATGAGGTCTATTCTAAGTCCCTGTCAAATTGGGTTCAGGGCTGGTTGTTCAATTTGGGATGCCCACGTTGACTTAGAAAGTAGGCTTCAATTAGCTCGGCTACATAAAAAATATGCGGCTTTAGTTACCTTAGACATCGCTAAAGCATATGATACCGTGGAGCACTGTATTTTGATAGATCGATTAGAGTACCTTGATTTTCCATCATACATAGTAGCGTGGGTTCACAATTTTCTCGCAGACAGGAAATTTTATTGTTTTAAAGATGGGTTTTCATCATCTACTCATACCCAAACGAGGGGAGTACCGCAAGGCTCGGTGCTTTCCCTGGTGCTATTTAATTTACTAATGAGCACCATCCCACGTAAACAGGATATAACAACTTATGTTTATGCAGACGATATCGCATTTGTTGCAATGGCAGATAACATTCAGACCTTATATGAACGGCTGCAGACCTACCTTAATATATTGGAGAGCTGGCTCGATGGCAACAGCTTTTTACTTAATCCGAGTAAATGTGCCCTCCTTGTTTTCCCGCTGCAATACCCTGTGAACATCTCTTTGTCTTAGCATCATGAGGATATACCACAGGTGGAATCTGTTAAATACCTTGGAGTAATTTATCACACATCGCTTAACTGGCGATCTCATATCGAATATATCGCCGGAAAAGGTGTGCGGGCCATTGGCATATTACGTAGGCTAAGCAACTACCGCACAGGTATCAGAAGAGACACATTATTAATGATATATCGCATGTATGTTCGTCCCATTTTGGAATTTGGTTGTGTGCTTTTCTCTGGAGTTCCAGCTTACAAGTTGCGGCCTCTCATTCTTCTGGAAAGAGAAGCTTTGCGCTTGTGCCTTGGCCTTCCCAAAACAGTCGCCAACAATGTGTTGTATCTCGAATTGAGGGTCCCTCCGCTTTCTTGTAGAATTCGCCTTCTGACTGTTCAGACATTCTTAAGACTTTATGAATCACCATTACGACATTCAGAAAGAGCCTTTATTTCCACCCCGGAATCATTTTTTTGCTGCTAGATGGCCGCAATTTCACACGCCACAAATTATATTTGTGCAAAATTTACTGGAGCCTCTAAACGTACGTATATGCGACATCATTCCGAGTCGTTATAATTCAGCCCCGGTGGAAATTCAATTCGACGACATTTTTCCTAATAATTCCAAATTACTTCCCCATAATATTTTGGATGGTTTACTACAAGATCACCTGTGCCGTATTACAACGAACGTTATTATTGCTACAGACGCGTCGCAATA